ACAGTCCTTGGTTTTAGTCCTAGGTCCATGATCCACCTTGAGTTGGTTTTTGTATATGGAGTGAGGTGGGGATCTTGTTTAATTCTTCTGCAGATAGTTTTCCAATTTTGCCAACACCATTTGTTAAAAAGGCAGTCATTTCCCCACCTAACTGATTTCGTCTCTTTGTCAGAAATCAATTGCCCATAAATAGATGGGCTGATTTCCGAGTTCTCAGTTCTATTCCATTGATCTATGTGTCTGTCATTGTACCAATACCATGCTGTCTTGACTACCACGGCAGTGTAGTAGGATTTTAGAGGTCTTACTCTCTTAAACTGACTCATCACCTTCTCAAGTCTGATGTCCTTTTCCAAGTACTTGCACCTTAAAACAACATGCTGAGAGTATATGGGATGAAGCTTAGCCATACTTGCCTCTAAGGGACACCCTGGTTGCACTTTTCTCCAAGATAGATTTGTTTGTTCTTTTGTCCGTTATGAGTATTCAGTACTTTTCTCCAGTACCACAATTCAGAGGCGTTTATTCTTCCTTTTGTCATCTTTAATTATTGTTCAACTTTCATATGAATAGCAAGTAATGGAAAAGACCATTTGTTCATGTACAACTTAGTCTTTAAACTGAATCTTTGTTTTGTAGTACTTTGGAGAGGTCTCTGACAGCAGGTTTTCTTAATGCCCCATGTCTTTTGGTTTCATGACTTCTGGCTCCAGTTGTGGTTCTCAGGTGAAATTATTGGCCTGGTTGGTTGTTTTCCTGTGTAATTAGTTTAATTCATTTGAGGAGCATTGAGAATATGTTTTATTCTTTTCCTTTTTATTCTAAATGTTAGCAGCTATGTAAGCATGTTATCAAGTGTAATGTTTTTAGTCTACCTCATTTTGCTGTGCATTAACATAACCAAATATGCTATGTTCCTTTATAGCTTTAATTGGCTTTATTTTTTGAGACTGAATTAGAGTAAGGACAACACAAACACGCATACTCTGTCTATTTCTCTCTACACGTGTATGTGAAAAGGGAAAGTGAATGTTAACCAAGGAATTCCGGGACTATAGGTTTGCAGTTGGATTTGTTCTGATACCAATACAGTGCAAAGTGCAGGCATGTTTTCTGTGGACTGACTTGTGTTTCCCTCTGTCTCTGTTCAGATCAATGTGACTACTGTGCGGGAGTATCTACCAGAGGGAGATTTTTCAATAATGACAGAAATGCTAAAAAAATTTCTCAGCTTCATGAATCTTACTGTAAGTATTTTTTTCTTGCTGCTTACATAGTCTTGGTTTTGGTTGGGTGGGTTTTTTTTTTTTGTTTGGGGTTTGTTTTTTCCCCCCTCCTTCCGCTTACATAGTTTTAAACTTGTTGAATATAATACATTAATGACAGTAGTATGTAGGTTTGCAAATCTGAAGTAACTAGATTTGTTAAATGTTACTATGTAATAAGTGGCCTGGTCTCATCTTTTTCCAGAGATTTGAAATGGGTGGGAGGCACTTGGCAGATCGGTGGTAGCTGAATCTCCTGGTCTTAGCCAGGTCAGCCCTCCTCGCACTATTCCCAGGTATCCCTTGAATTATCCCAAGTTTTGGCACCAAAATGTTTCTCTTTAATGGATTTGGTCCTCCTCACCTGGCTAAAGAATTAAGCTAGCTAGGAAAAACTAATGGCCTAGTGGTAAGGAATTATGCCATTCACCCAAAGAAGTACAATTCCAATTCACCAGCGGCTCCACAAAAGAAAAGATGGAGGAACTCAACTCCCATGTGATTGACTGCCTCTGAAAATCCACTGAAGAGTTAGCTACGAGTCTGTCCTGACTTGATGACACACAACTACAAAAGGAAAGACTAGAGGAGATGCTGTCCAATTTACAGAAGCTGCACTGTGTACATTGGTTTTAATGGCCCTTAATGCACCATTTTTAGTGTACACAGGCCAAGCCCTTATGAGAGTGAATGTACCCAGCAGGACATCAAGCTTACCAAGAAGAGAAGGGGACAGGAGTGAAAGTGAACATAAATGCAGTTCATTAGTAAAGATGCTTCCCAGAGAGAGGGCGGGGTCATTCTCTGAAAGACAAGATAGTAACGGAGACAACCCTCGGTTATTAGGGTTATGAATTTATATAGCTGGCTCATTCCTCTTCTGTGTGTGCTTTAGGGCTTAAGTCTGACCCAATGGGATGAGGTCATGGGAGGTTCCAAAAACACTAATTAATTTGCTTTCCGCGGTATACCAGAACTCTGATGCTTAGGGTCCCATGCAGTTCAGTAGTTCTGATTGGAGAGGGCCTGATCCTAGCCGCTCCTCTGCCCTTGTCCACTATTTTGAGATTTTGCCCCTAACTTGAGTTTTTTGCCTTCCTTATTTCTTAGGTTATCTCCTTTAACCTTCCTTCCACCACCTCACCTCATTTTGCCTGACTTACCCAGTTTTGACCCTAACATTAACTGTCATTTTCCCCTCTTCAGTGTGCTGTTGGAACCACGGGCCAGAAATCTATCTCTAGAGTGATCGAATACTTGGAACATTGCTAGCTGCTTTACCTTTGCTTCAGGTACTCGGTAATGCTGGAGCTATCCTTAGATAAGGAAAGTCACGAAAGAAGTTCTTCCTTGAAGATGTATCAAGAACATTCATCAGTATCATTCATGTTTGGATTTTTAAGGCCACTTGATTTCTTCGTCATGCATTCTGCATTTGCTGACAGTTACTACATCAATCTGCAACTATCAGAAATGAGGGAAAAGGTTCAGGCTGTTAAGAATTCCATGCAGTATTTAAATACACTTACTTTGGCAGAGTTTATACTCTCCCCTTGTTTGCTTGCTTGATTCTGGGCAAGCTTTAAGGGGAAATTTATGCTGCTGTTAGTGCAACTGCTGTGTGTGTTGAGCCACTGTTGTCATGCCAGCCAGGTGCAAAGGCAGCTTAGCTACTGAGGTATTGAGTGTTCTGAGGACGTTCAAGACAACAGCTTAGTACCTTTTTCAGGCTCATTTGCTTTTGCTTTTTTGTTGAATGATTCCAGTCGTAAATAAAGCTTTTAATAATTTTGTGAATTTTTTTTGGTGGTTGTTCCCTGAACTATTATCTATATTTAAAACTAGATTGAATCCAAAGACACAAGGGACTAATAATAGTCTATTTTTTTATTCTTGATTAGGTTTGGGTTGCTAAATGGTTTTTCACTTTTGAGACCATGACCATAATTGAGTTTCATGCCATAATGTGTCATAGCTATAGCCACAGAATACAAATAAGTGAGGGAATAAAATTCATATAAGACGATGTGCCCTGTTAAAAGATGAAGCAAAATAAACAAACCCAGGGTAGTTTACACTTAATCCTAGGTGAAGCCCTTAAAACATTGTTAGGTTTTGAGGGGAAACTCTCTAGATATATTTTCTGATGTTCAGTACAATAAATGTAAGGAAGCTAAAACACCAATGTGAACTTCATGTTTCCAGGCAATGTGTGTATTCTTCTTAAGAGGGACAGGATTGTTTGCATAGTGCAAAGCCTTAAAAATGCTGGTTTAGAGCAGATAATTTTCTATTGTTCTGATTCTTAGTTCATAGAACAGTGTGTTTGGAAGACAATTATGGAAACACACATACACCGTATATATTTAATTTCACAACATTGCATATTTTTTTATTGTATTATTGTTCAAACCACTGGTTTGACACTTTTTTATTGTTTTCTCCTACGGACAGGCTTTTCTGGAGATGTATTTCATTAATACTTTTAGATACTTTCTAGATAGTATTATCATATTTCTTCATTGGGTTTGTAAAACTTGAAGCCATAATAATATTAGTTTGGTGTGTATTGGGGAATATTGCTAACAGTCTAATACTCACTTAGACTGTCGTTTCCTTGTATAAAGTGACAAATCGGGGCTCTTGTATCAGTGCCAGCTGTAATGTTTTTAATGCAGTGGCTGCCTTCTATTGTCTTCCTATTTTTGATAATGCAGATTGTTGGGAAATCTATAAGGAAGTAACTGATTCCAGGCAAAATGTTTTCTTCTTCCTATCCACCCCAGCCCCCCACCCATCACTTTCTAAAAACATAGTATACCAGTATAACATGGGAAAGATTTCAGAGATTGTATTTGCCCTGAGTATAAAAGCTACTCCAGCAAACTACATATTGGTAAATGATATCCGTAAAATTAAGTTATCCCAGCAGATTTTTAGGGAAAAGTATATTAATATTTATCATCGGGTTTTAGAAAAGGAACAGATTCCTGGCAAAGTTAACTTGTGACAAATGGTTAGGAATTTTATAAAATGATTGGGTGAGAACAATCAGGGCAAACTACTTGTTTTCTGTTATACTGGTAATCATTTGAAAATTGATTTACCTCAGTGTTTAACAATTTCTGGTTTTTAAATAACTAATTGTAAAGCACTAGTAGAGATCCAGGTTTTGGTGTGAGGGTTTGGGGAAGAGATCACCTTACAAACCACAGTGCATTTGTGTGTTTTTAACCCTCAGAGAACTCTGTGTTTTAGGGTACTTGAGGCTGACTTGCAAATTAACTAACATTTTAAGGTAACCTTTTTTTCCACTGTAAATATTTGTGTAAATAGTACCAATTGGAAACTAGAACAGTAGATTACTTTTCTGAATCCAATCCTATTTTTATTTTATACAGTATTTCTCAGCTGTGATCTTTGGAGCAAAAGCCAACGGCAGGAAAAAAATAGTTTGTACCAGTTTCATGAAGTATGTCTTTGGGTTTTTGTAAATAATTTTAACTCAAATAAAATTGCTACTTTCAATATAAATGTTGTCTTTAACATAAGTGTATTGAGCTGTTTTAGAGGAAGAACTCTCACAAACTTGTTAGAATGGCTGCTCACCACAAGATGTGGTGTTAATATGAACAGCACTTGAAAAGAATACACACCGAGTTTTAATGTTTATTGTGTACTTCCCCATGTTTTCAGTACTAGTTTCCTACGTGCAACTCAGGCTTGGGCTTATTAGGAGCATTGATTGTCATCAGTAAGGTGACTATGCCCTTGGTGTGTTTACTTAGTTGTTTTAGGTCTTTTTACCATTGTAAGACTGTAATTGCTTTTCAGTATTTACAGCTGTTCTTCCCTGCTTGCCACCCCATGTCGCCCCTGTTTTCTTTGTAGTCAACAACATGCATTTATGTACCATGAACTGTTGGTTCAATTTCACTTACAGGCCACTAAATTGAAGGCTCTCATGTGGCACTTAGACGCATAGAAACCATTTAAAATCATGCATTATAGATACAGACTATGGAGACATGATCTAAATCACCAATAAGTTTTGTGATCTGATACCAGCAAATTTCTGAAGTAACAGAAATCTGTTTTCTCACCTGGGAAATAAAGATTTTAGTAGTACCTACCCCACAAGATTAGGGCACTCTGATGGCCTACTATTACGGAGTTGCATTGACAATCCAAAGACAATGGATTGTTCAGATCCACCAGCTGCTCTGTGGGAAAAAGATGGACAGTCTCTTTCCATGCTGTTTACAGCCCAAGTATGTGATGTCTTAGTACAGTGTTTCAGACTGGCATGGTCTTGGTAAATTGGAGCTTTTTCCAGATAAGTGTTTTAGTAGAATATTGTGACTCCTGAGGCCACCTGGAGTGATGCTTCTTATCTTAGAGGTTATATGTGGTTTGTTATTTGTGACAACACACCTTTCTAAAAGAAGTGTTTCTAAAATCAGTCTTATTAATACCTTGTTAGCTACTTATTATGAAATAGGGGCATAGAATAGCCCCCAGTGATTCATTAAAATCTTGCAGACAGGTCCTTAGGTTTTACCTGAAGAGTAGAGACTAAGGTTTACCCAATTCAATGTCAGTAAGTTGGGAGAAAGATGGTTTTTAGTGCACAAACCTATTTTGTATGTGTACACTACAGTCATGTAAGGTTTATAATGCTAATTTTTTTTTTTTTTTTTTTAGTTTTATTATTTTGTGTGTGTGTACCGTCAAATCAGATCTGACTGGTACAGGAGGAGATTGTTCCTCCTTCTCCAGCAGAGCATCTGG